TTAAGTCTCCAGGCGCAGTTTTCACACGTGATTAAACTGCAGACATCCTCACCATTCAACGGACACGATTTCTTTACCTGGAGTTTTGAGTTCGAGCTGCTGATGGAGGCTGCGCATCTCTAAGGATACTTCAATGGGTCCCTGCCATTCCCAAGCAACGGCACTGCAAAAGAACAAGAAATGTTCACGTATCAGTCGCTGCTGGCGTACACAGTTCTCCTACGGAACCTGTCACCACAAGAACAGCAAAGCATCAGAACGTATAGGAGCTACGGAAACTCCGCAGAACTCGCATGGCATCATCTCAAGTGCCTCTATCAAGCAAATGACAGCGTGACACAAAGCAGACTCATGCAGCAGCTGACAACAATACAGATGAAGACCGGGGAAAAAGCGATGTAGTATATGAGTCGATGCCAGACACTCCACGACCGCCTGCTTCGGTGCGGAGGAACAATCACTGAAGAAAGCTTCGTGACGCTTGTCCTCGCTGGGCTCGGGCCAGAATGGCGAACCACCCGCTCGCTCCTTCGCGCCCACGGACGAATCTCTGAGATGCACCTCTGCGCCGAGCTCCATGCTGAACAACAGGAGATGGACCTGTTTGAAGAAACACAACCAAGGAAACAACAACCATTAGTCTTCTACACTCAACGAAGACACGACAACAACTACAACCGACGCGGCAGGCAAGATCAACGCGACAACAGAGGACTCACCATTGTACCGCCGTTCTGCCACAACTGCCAAACATCCGGACACTCCAAGGTCAACTGCACACGTCCCCGAGCTTATTGTCCAGTAGACCTACAAGTCGCTTCCACTCAATAAAGTCCGCCGAGGCGCTCTTCCACATCTGCACAAAATACACCGAATATCATCAACTGCATGGTACACATCGACAACTGCGCACCCAGATCACCGCCAACTTACGCTCCCGATGAAGAAGAACTGCCGCCGCCGCGCTCACAAGGACTTCAGGTCAACCCGACATACGCTGCAGTCGCCAACGCCGAACCCACCGGACGAAACACCTGGTTCTTGGATAGCTGCTGCGGTCAACACATGTGCTCCTCCGGGCGCTTCGTGCAGTGAGAGCGACGCCTCAACCGCGATGTCATCATCACCGTCGCCAACAACGAGAACCTGAAAACAAACAGACAAGGAGGGGTTCAGTTACAGTCCATGGAAACAAACGTTATACTACAACTCAACAAAGTTCTCATCGTCGACAATTTGGGATACAACTTGCTCAGCGTCAACTAGTTAATGGCAAAAGGGATTCACATGGAGTGCGACTCAGACTCAAACGAATTCCATCTTTACCACGGGAAGGGCGGTCTCTTCATCGGTCGAGCTCTCCTGAAGTCCGGCGTCTTCGTGTTGGACTTTGTCTCCGACCGCGGTACTGCCGACAGCGATGGCATCGTGTCGTTCGCAGCCTGGACGCACCCGCCGGATCTTGACCCCGACTTCAACCACGATGGATTCTGGTACTCCAACACCATACCTGCAGCAGAGAGAACACGAGCGTTAGCATTCATCAGACAAGAAAGACAAGTACCAGCAAGTGTCCCTTCCCAACCCTTGCAGTAGCAGCAGCAGGACCCAGCAGAGTACCACCACCAACGATCCGAGGACCACCAACTGAAGCAGACCAACTTATGCCCACAACACGCGAAGCCTGCCGAAGTCCCGCCACCGTCGTCGCGTTCTTCTCCAACACCAACATGTAACACCGATCGCCCGGCCATCGAGCTCCCGACGACATCTGGCATCAACGCCTTGGGCATCCTGCAAATAGCACGGTACTACAAACCATCCAAGCCGAAGTGTTAGAACGAAACGCTCTCCTTACAACAAGCGGACAGGAACTTCGACGACCTCGCGCACGGTGCTTCACATGCCCCGAAGCAGATCTTCAACACCAACCTTTTCCGTCACATCACAATCCAAGCGCACCTGCATACGCACCGATGGAAAAGGTTTACAGCGACATCTTACACATGCCTCGAGACGACACTGAAGCTGACTTCAACTATGTCATAACGTTCATCGATGCAGCAACAAGATATGTTTGGCACTACAACCTCAAGACGAGAGACCAAGCTTTCAAAGCCTTCAAGACGTGGCTTCCCATCGCTGAACGAGAATCAGGAACGAAGCTCAAAAGCCTCCAGTCAGACGGCGCACTGGAATACGAGTCACAACGCTTCAGGACCTACTTGGCAGAAAGAGGAATCAGACGCTTGGTGTCTCTGCCCTACGCTCACCAGCAGCAGGGGGTCGCAGAACGAATGAACCGGACCTTGCAGACGACGATGCGAAAGCTGCTCCTGGGGATGAGACTGCCCAACACACTGTGGCCAGACACGATGACACATGCAGTCCACCTGCACAATCTGTTGTCATCGTCATCGCTTCCCAACAACGCATCACCGCACCTGCTGTGGACACGAAAAAGGGGCAGCACAAAATTACTTCGAGTTTTCGGCTGCATGGTACAGTACAGACCCCACACAGCCCGAGCAGGACGCTTCACTCAACGAGCACGGTGGGGACTACACCTCGGCATCGCCAAACATTTTCAAGCATGGAAAATCCTCGACATACAAGACAAAAATACGGTGGCATCATGTGATGTTATCTTCTACGAGCGACTGACGCTGCAGCATTACCTGGACAACATTGCCAACACACACGACCCCACCGACGGCCTCGCGGGCCTTCGTTCCTTCGCCGACCGTGCTGCCGAGGCTGACGCAGCAGAAGAAGACGTACCTGGAGCCTCGGAAGCTGACGGACCACTCCCTTTCTGTTCCGTACCTGTTCCACTCGACGAAGACAATCCTCTCGATAGCAACAACCTCGACACCCTCTACCACTTCGCTGACCAAGGTTACGCTACACCTCACCCGGTCGACACGAATATCTCAGAACGCATCGGCCCCAACTTCTTACCTGATTCAGAAGATGGTGATGAAGCAGCCTATTCCGGGAATGAAAATTCCCCTCGACACACACCCACGGGACTGCAAATCCTCAGCTTATGGGTCTCCATCCAGCACCCGCCGCCGCCATCTCCGCGCGAGCCAACGACTCTGTCGCAGGCTCTGGGGGGGGAACATAAGGCGAAATGGAAGGAGGCAATGGAAAAGGAACTGAAAGCTCTGCAAGACCGAAATACATGGAAGCTGGTACCTGCAACGAACACCAACGGGAAGAACATTCTCTCGGGGAAATGGGTGTACCGCATCAAGACCAATGCGGACGGCTCCATCGAACGATTCAAGGCTCGCTGGGTCGTACGAGGATTTGATCAACGATACGGAACCGACTACACAGAAACATTCGCCCCAGTCTCTCGTCACACCTCCTTGCGCATCCTACTCGCCGTCGCGGCCACAAAGAAACTACCACTGCGCCAGATCGACGTCGCAAATGCCTTCCTGTACGCACCTGTGGACGCCGAAATCTTCGTCGAGCAGCCCCACGGATTCATCGACGACCCCACAAAAGTATGCCAGCTGATAAAATCCCTTTACGGGATCAAGCAAGCCCCGCGGCTCTGGCAGCAGCATCTTCACGGTCGCCTCGTCAGAATCGGATTCCTACAACTGCCGCATGACCAAGGCATGTACCGACTGCAGAAGGGAAGAGAGTATATCCTACTCATCGTTTACGTCGACGACCTGCTCTACATCGGTTCCACTACCGACATCGCCACCTGGTTCGAAGGGGAGCTGAAAGGGGACTTGACACTCACGGTGTCCGACACAGTGACCCAGTACCTGGGTCTGAATGTCGTTGAAGACAACTCGGCGTTCTACCTATACGCTGGAAAGTACGCAGGCGTTGTCGCAAGAAGTTCGGACTAACACCAACTACAGTCGCGACTCCCTACCGCTACGGGAACAACAACGACACCTCCGCAAAACTCCCCGCGAAGCAAATCCGGGAGTATCAGCAGAAGCTCGGCTGCCTACTATTCGCAGCAGTAACCTGCCGACCTGACCTATCCTACAACGCAAGCCAGCTGGCGACGCATCTGAAGCAACCGGAACAAGAAGATCTCGAAGAACTAAACCGGGCACTACTCTACTTCGTCTCTACGCCGACGACCAGACTTACCTACAGCAAAGTAACAACACCATCCGTACAACTACTCGGATACGTCGACGCCGACCACGTGGGAGACAGGGAAAATCGACGATCGAGAACGGGCTACATCTACCGACTAGAACCTATCGGGACTATCTCCTGGCAGTGGAGCAAACAGGAACTAATCGCACTATCTTTGGCTGAAGCAGAATATATCACCCTCTGCACTGCGACCAAGGAAGGACTCTACCTGCGAGAGTTGCTCGAGGAAGCGAAGATTGCGACCCTGCCCGTCTTCTCACTCCTCTGCGACAACCAATCTGCGATCAAAATCGCGAACAAGGACGGCTTCGCCAACCGAACCAAGCACATCGCCCTGCGGTACTTTTTCGTCAAAGATGAAATCGCGAAGGGGAGACTTCAACTCAGTTACTGCCCTACAACAGAAATGGCCGCAGACTACCTGACGAAGAAACTGGCGAAGGCAAAATTGGATTACTGCATGCTGCTGACCGGGCAGACAAACGTCACCGGATCTGAACACGTCAGCACTCCAGAAACGAAGGGAGTGTTGGAAATATCTCAAGGACTTAAGCGTTTCTGAAGTGTAACACCACACTCGAGGAAGATCGTAACGAGTACGCGAGTCAACGGAGGTTACACGAGGGGATGGACAAAGAACACGAAAGGACTCGAAGGGTCGCAACTGGAGGTTGCGAGTGACCGTTACAACTGCAAGAATGGTTACCGAAGCGACAATCGAGTCGCTGTGCGACTCGATAACCGCCATTCAACTGTATTCTACAACTGCTTGTTTTCTACTTTCTATATATTGCTGTGTGCTTGTTCACTTTAATCAATCACTTGTTCTCACATACTAGTACAAGGGTTCAACTACCGCTGCACTACTCAAGTTTCCTTTACAACTGGGACTTAGTCTCTGGAAAGATCCTAAGGGCATTTCTCAGCCCAACAGTAGAAACCTAGAACAAGTACTAGCTGGTTGTACTCACTAAAAGCACACCTCAGTCTAGCCTATAACTTGTACAAAGCTAACATGTATAAGTTGACACATCAGACCAATTTCGTCTGATAAAAAGGGCCCTGCTTCCGAGGTGTCGAAAAGTGCCCCGCACACCAACAAATCTCCCTTCACCCGGGGGTTGAGGGCGAGACAGAAGGGATCGGTCGGAAAGGAGGCAGTTGAACCACCACTGGCTTGAGAAGCGCCTGGCCTGTCAGTGTTGCCTTATAACCTCGTTATTGCAATACAGCAATATGGGTACGAATTGCTATTCAACTGATCTCCTCACTTATAACAAAGCTCATGAGCATCCTATCCTTCCTCCATGCAAGAGGGTTTTCCAAATGCCACAATGGGTAACATTGAAGAGCCGGCCTCATGGTTAACTCAGCGCATCTTCTTGGGCACGACTCGAAGGCGCTTGTAGGCCATCACTGATGTGGCTGTGAAGAGGGAGTACCTAGTGATGGAGGGAACCAGGGAATGGTGGAAGGGAGCCCCTCGATTATTGAGGGAGTGCCAGCCCCTCGATTCAAATGGTAGGCATTAGATCAGTGCACTTCGAACGCGGTTCTCGATTTCACGTGGTAGCCCCAGACGAGGTGAACGGCAGACATAACTCAAAATCGTATCAGCCTACATGGTACTCGCCAGTTCACTCACCATGTGGCGGCGTAGGTGATGTGGTCCAAGGGCATGACTGCCAGCTTCACCAGCTCCTCCGGGTCCTTGGGGCGCGGGAAGCGCGGGTCGCTAGTGAATGCAGGGCAGACACCTGCATGGCTGCTGCTGCTGGTGCCACTGCTGTAAGTGGTATTGCCATCCTCTCTCTGCTCCTCCTCCTCAGTTGGTCTCATGGCGTCCAATAGCAGAGTGTCACGTGGCAGGCAACAGGCCTGAGCCATGGTCGGCACGTCCACCCAGAACCACTCCCCGTGCTGGGGGGAGTTGGGCGGCACAAAGTGGTTGGGCTTCTCGCTGCCTCGCACCACACCACTCACTTTGATGATCGGAGGAGCGTTAACCTGTGTGGCAGAAAAACGACACGCAGAGGGAGGAGCAGCTGTTGAGGGAAGAAAGGCATGTCCACCCGGAAGAAAGGCATGTCCACCTGGAACCACTACCCGTGGTCGGGGGAGCTGGGCGGCGGCACCTCACTGCCTCTCAATATCCCAGATACACGCATTACAGGAGGAGCGTTCACCTGTGTGGCGGGGGAGAGACAAAGAGGTAAGGGACGCTCTTTAGACGCCCACTCAGGGTTGCGGGCTACGCAGATAGCGGGAGGAGTGTTAACCTGTTTGGCAGGGAAGGGACGTGGGGGAAAAGAGCCACCCTGAACGGCCGCCAAAACCACTCCCCGTACTAGGGGCTGCTGGGCAGCACAAAGTGGCTCGGCTTCTCACTGCTCATCACTGTTCAGCATCAGCTAAACCCCCAACCCTAGATCCAATAGTTGATGGTCGTTTACCACGATACATGGTAGTCAAATGGTGCTTGACGGACGTAACGAGGATCGCGGGGAAGAAGGGAAAGGGGAAACAAGGCGGGACGTACCGCCGTGCCTGCCTCCCTACTACTCTACACATTCACAAAAAGGTTTTCCTTCTCATTCTGGGTTTCAGGCGGCATCACTGCCTCTCCAATAATCCATGCAGTGCTGCCAATCAGGCTGGTCTGATTTGATCTGATTTGACGTGCTCTGAATACAAGCCTCACCTCACTGGCACGCTCCGCTGGCGTTGGTATTTGCCCCTGACCTCGCCCAAACCACCCACGGCTGCTGCTCTTCCCACACGCGCTAGTATTACTGCCTCCACTGCTGCTGCTCGTAACCTCCTGCCTCGCCCCCTCCCCTGCGGCTCCCCTCGCCCTCTCCCCTGCCATCCACGCCTCTGCCTCCTGCCGCACTGCCTCTGGCACCCATCCGCGGTTCACTAGCACGGCTGGCTGTGGGCTGCAAGGGGGGAAAATGGGGAGATGGGAGTGTGAGTGGGGCTATGTTGGAGTTAACGCTCAAGGGCCGAGCGTTTTGAGTTCGAACGCTAGCGTTTACACGCAAACGCTCAAACGCTACGAAAAAGCATCACTCGAGCCGGCTGCCCACGGAAAAAAAAAAAATCAGAATTTTAATTTCAGTTTGCGACGTGGCGAAAAAAACGGAATGTCTCGCCACCTCGCACTGTCGACATTTGGCTGTCTTTTCAACTCCCAACCCCCTTAATACTCCCAACCGCACTAGACTACACAAAATCGAGTAAACACAAAATCGACTACGTGTGTGAGGGATGGATGGGAAGTTGGGAGGCAAATGTACTCGGAAATCCTTAAAATCTTCTTCTTAAGGGTCGTGGATGAAGGGGCCCTTCAACCCCCCTCCCCCTCTTCTCCACCCCCCCCCCCCCCCCGAAACCCATTTTTTTGCCCTGTCCGGAACTTTTCTTACCCTGCCCGGGCCAGCGTTTTCCAACCGTTTGGCCCCCCCTTGCTAAGCGTTTTCCGTTTAACGCTAGCGTATAAAACGCTGGCATTTAAAGGCGCAAGCGCGCTCATTCCAACATAGGTGCGAGGAACGTGGGGCAGTGCTGTAGCGCGTTGAAGCCTGCCCCTCCCCTCACAGCCTATGTGCACCCACCCACAATTACAGTGCCACTCACTCGATTCACCGGCACTCGTTAAAGTGCCACTCGCTCGATTCACCTGCCCTCGTTACAGTGCCACTCACCTGGCAGCAGGGGGAACGAGCGGCGTGACAAGGAAATACCCCTTCTCCTGCGCTCCCACACAGTGTGCGCCCTTGGGCCCCCCACAAACAGTTTTGCTTCGAGGGGCCTCACGACCAGTCATAGTGCCATTCGCCTGACTGGCATTCACCCGCCCTCGTAACACTGGCAGGGGTTGGAATGAGCGTACCTGCCAGCGGGGAGGACGAGTGGAGTGACAAATAGTGCCCCTTCTCCTGTGCCCCCCGCATGGTGAGCGCCCGTGGCCCCAGAAACAATCTCATCAGAGTCCATTAACACGCCCTCCCTACACTAACGTTCACCTGCCAGCAGGGGGAACAAGCGGAGTCACGAGGAAGTACCCCTTCTCCTGTGCGCCCCGCACGGTGTGCGCCCGCGGCCCCACAAACAGGGAACGAGCGTCGTCGTACCGCCCCTCACACTCCACGCGCCGAAACTCCAACTCCCCTGATGCCAAACCCGACTCCCCTGCTGCCGAACCAGACCCATGAGCTTCGGTGGTCACGCTACCATGAGAACCAGAAGCGGCTGCTGGTGTGGCTGCTGGTGTGGCTGCTGGTGTGGAGAGCGGTGCGGGTGGCGCTTGCTCGGTGCCCTGTGCAAGGGCCTGCGACTGCAGCGCCTCCAGCAATGGCACTGGTGGCTCCTCCAGCCGATGCTTCCTGTGCTCCACTAGGTCGAGCTGGTGGGCGGGCGCGCAGGGAGGGAGGGCCGAATGAACGCAGGACACCAGGAGGGTGTTACGATGGGAGGGACATACGAGACCCACTCCTGGCTCGTCCAGCCGCTGCTTCCTGTGCTCCGCCAGGTGGAGTGGAGGTGTGAGGCGGGCAGGGAGGGAGGGATGAACGAGGGACACCACGAGGGCGTTACGAGGGGGGGGGGCAGATAAGGCGCACTGGTGGCTCCTCCAGCCGCCCAGTCCTGTGCTGCGCTGCCCCTGGTCGAGCTGATGGGGAGAGGGGGGGACGGGATGGGGAGAGAGGACGCCCACGGATTCCAGGGGGGGGGATGGGCGGATGGGCGGATGGGGAATGGGGAAACGGGGGGGACACCGTGGAGCACGTGCGGCCTGCTGCTGGTTTCTCCCCTGAGTAGGAGCTGCGTCACATGCTGTTAGCCTGTTAGGGCTGTCAGTCGGCCCGCTAGGCCGAGCTGCGAGACAGGTGGGGCGGGCAGGAGGGAGGGGAGGGAGAGAGGAGGCAGAGTGCGATGCCTTGATGTGTGGGGAGAAGGCAGTCAGAGAGCTGACGCTCGAAACCCGAGTGAAGGAGTGACGTGAGGATGCGGGTGAGGGGGTAGGGAGGGGGGAGGGGAGGGGGGAGTGAGGGAGGGGGGAGGGAGGGGGGAGGGAGGGGGGAGGGAGGGGGGAGGGAGGGGGGAGAGAGGGGGGGGGGAGAGGGGGGGGATGTGGAAGAGAAGTGAGGTGAGGACCATTATCCGCCATGGATGCTGCAGCCATCGTGTCGTGCGCTGGTTTAGTCCGCACTGTAATAGACCATGCGCCTTTCAGGCACCTTCCATCCAGTAGTACCGGCGAACCTGCTACGCGCTTTCCAGTAGTGGTTTTGAACCTTCCGAGTACCTTCCAATGGACGCGCTGAACCTTCCACCACGCACCTTCCAGTAGTAGCGCTGAATCTGCCAGGTCCCCAGGCCGAAGGCGGTGGCACACGGCAGCAGCAGCAGCGCCACTGCCAGCCAGGAGCGCTTTGAGTGGGGTGGTGGTTCTGGTGGTGGGAGAGAGAGGGAAACGGAAGAGAGGACAGGCAAAGACGAGGGAATTCAGGCCAAAGGCGGTGGCACATGGCAGCAGCAGGCCACTGACAGCGGTGGACAGCTTTGGGTGGGGTTGGGATGGTGGTACTGGTGAGAGCAGTTGGGAGGGGAGAGAAGGAAAGGGGAGCGATGTGAGGGAAAAGAGAGAAGGAGAAGTGGAGAGCGGGTGATGGGGATTTAGTGAGCAGAGAGAGGGAGGGCATGGCATGCATGCCCACCATCTCACCTGTGCCTGCAGCAGCGGTTGACAGCGGCTGATGAGCCAGCAAGCGAGAGAGGGAGGGTGAAGGGGAGAGAAGGAGAGGGAGGGAGAAGGGAAGAGAAGGAGAGGGAGGGAGAAGGGAAGAGAAGGAGAGGGAGGGAGAAGGGGAGAGAAGGAGAGGGAGGGAGAAGGGGAGAGAAGGAGAGGGAGGGAGAAGGGGAGAGAAGGAGAGGGAGGGAGAAGGGAAGAGAAGGAGAGGGAGGGAGAAGGGGAGAGAAGGAGAGGGAGGGAGAAGGGGAGAGAAGGAGAGGGAGGGAGAAGGGGAGAGAAGGAGAGGGAGGGAGAAGGGGAGAGAAGGAGAGGGAGGGAGAAGGGGAGAGAAGGAGAGGGAGGGAGAAGGGGAGAGAAGGAGAGGGAGGGAGAAGGGGAGAGAAGCGAGACGGCAGCCCTGCAGGAAACAAACGAGGGAGGGAGGGGGAGGGCGAGAAGGAGAGGAAACGCGCGAAAGAATCCAGCACCTCTCACCTGCCCCTGCAGCAGCGGCTGCAGCGGCCGTGCTGGCAACAGTGGCCGTGCTGGCAACAGTGGCCGTGCAGGCAACAGTGGCCGTGCAGGCAACACGAGGGAGGCAATGGGGGAGTGAGGGGAGGAGCACTCGACATGTCTCACTTGTCCCTGCAGCAGCAGTTGAAAGCAGCCATGCAGCCAACAAACGAGAGAGGGAGGGAGGGAGGGAGGGAGGGAGGGAGGGAGGGAGCAACCAGCATCTCACCTGTGACTGCAGCAGCGGTTGACAGCGGCCGTGCAGCCAACAGCGACACCATCAGCTGCCCATGAGAACGTGCTCTTGCGGGTGTGGAATGGACGGCTGACGTTCCACGCACAGGATCAACGGCTGGGGTCGCTCGGATGGCACCAAGGGGTCTCGATGAGGTGGAGTGATCACGCGCTCTTGCAAGGAGGATCGCGGCGCGCTGCGGCCGTAGCTCAGAAGCTGCTGCTATTGGCGGGTGAATGCCATTTCTCGTCCCTGGAACTTGCCTAGAAGCTGCCGTACCATGCTGGGCGGCAGCTATTGTAGCACCAAGTGAATCTAGAAGTGCCTCAAAAGTTCCTGCAGTATGCGCGTTATTGACAGCGGTATGACGATGTTTGCTGACTTGCAAGCCGCCATACACGCGCGATCCGCCCAGGAGACGGCGGCAAGTGCGATTCAACGACATGCGCTGCTGCTGCTGCTGCTGCTGGTACGTAGAGTGAGCGAACCGGAGGGAGTAGAGCCCAAGACTACTATCTAGTGAGCCTGCTGGATCGGAAAGCGAGTCGTCGACGATCACAGCTCTAAGGTTCGCGCACCAACGACAGGTCAGCCCCAGCAGGTCCTGCGTGGAGAAGAGGTGGCTTTCGAGTCGACGGAAGCGGGAAGCGGGTGGACTCTTGAGCCGAGTGGAGGAAAAACTCCCGCCGGCCCTGTTTCTCCCAAGGTGGAACGAATCGCTCCGAAACTGATCCCTCTGAACTTGGTCTCTTTGAGCGCGTGGCAGGCGAGAAAGCGTCGCGCGGAAGAGAGATCGGAGGGCGAACACGGCGAGGCCGCCGCAACGGCGACTGGTAACGAGGCAGTGGGGCGAGGCGGAATTATAACGCGGAAGTGGGCCCCACGGGCTTATAACGCGGCAGTGGAGGCAGGTGAGGTGGCGAGCGGTGGACGCAGGCAGATTGGGTGAGTTGACACGCGAGTTGCGGGAGCGAGGCCCTGGTCCAGAGCGCTCGAGTTGCATAATCGGACGAACTATTTGGACCTGCCCTTGGCGCTGGGGTGCAGGGGACGCAGTGGGTCTTGCTGCTGGGAGGTGCCTTTTGTCAGGGCTGGCGAGAAGCGTGGCCATTCGCACGGAACCATCAGTTGCCTGTTTGGTTCATCTACTGTAGTGAGGAGTTCGTGCACAGATTTTCGTGGTTCTGTGCGCTTTTACAGGGTGTTTCGGGGTATTAGAGACTCGAGCTGCTACAACACCGAGCATGGAAGAATCGCGTACGACGGAAATTTGAACTGGTGATGTGGTAACTACACTCGCGAACAAGACAGATCCATTCGCCAGACGCTACCTCTGAATGATAAAATCCCCTTTCTAGGGCTTTCCCACTCTTGCCGCGAGTCGCGCTTGCGCAGCCCAAGGGTGGTCTCGCCTCCCTGCGCTCGTTCCGTGGGTTCCATCGAGTGCTCCGGCGCGCCCGACACACGCGACCGTCAGCCATTACAGGTGCAGCACGCGACGATTCATGCGACAAACCCTGGCGACTATGCCGTGCGACCACCAGCAGCAATTGCAACAGTCGGCGACAGCGGACCCGTTGTTGGCGACGCTCTTGGGCGACGATGTGCGATGGTTCGAATGGTCGCCAGAGGGCCGCTTGCGATGCACGCTGTCGCAGCACGAGTTTCCAATCCGCGCTGAACACGTGGCAGGCCTAGTCGTCGCACGGTCGCAAGGAGAGTCGGTTCTCGTTGAATCGCGTGATTGCGATTTGTCGCAGCCTCACCAGTCGCAGCAGCAGTTGTCACAGGATGCATGGTCGCAGCAGCAGTGGCGAACCGTGCGACAGCATGTGCGATCAAAAGCCTTCGCAGCAGCGGCGGCGGTAACGGAGGCGCTGGAGCGAGCCTCGCCGCACATAGTGGCATGCACCCAGGATAGGTGGGCGGGGTGCCTTTGCCCACTCCCATCCATCCATCCATCACCTCGCACTCGCAGCTCCCTCTAACCATACATGCGAGACCCCATGCATGCATAGCCCCATGCATGCATAGCCCCATGCATGCATAGCCCCATCCACATACATGCAACTCTCACAAGCAGCGCCATGCCCCATGCAATAGTCCACACGCCTCGTCCCCTCCACTCCTTGCTTCGCCCCCTCCACTCCTTGCTTCGCCCCCTCCACTCCTTGCTTCGCCCCCTACACTCCTTGCTTCGCCCCCTCCACTCCTTGCTTCGCCCCCATTGGTTTATCCATCCATGCCCCCATCCAACCATCCACCTGGCAGTGCTCGCCTGCAGTGTCGCCTCACAGGCAGCACCATCGCTCGCACGGCTGCTGCCATCAGCAGGCACACGGCGGGCCATCGCTTCCAGTCTGCTCTAGGTATGCCTCGTGCTGCCACATGCACCAAGCCCTCCCTTCTAGTGCCCCTTGGCTCCCACCATCGCTCGCACCGCCGCTGCCATGCTCAGACACACAGCAGGCCCTCGCTTCCAATCTTCTCTAGGTGTGTTGCTACTCCCGCCATGCCTGCTCTCTCACGCCGGTATGCCCCATGCTGTAATCCGATGTTTTCTCATGGCTGCTGCCGTCCCACACATGTGGCCACCCATCGCTTCCAATCCTCCCCTGGTGTCCCTTTCCTTTGCCCACTCTCTGCCTCCACTCCTGTTCTTACTCTTTCTCTTCTTCCTTCTCTCTTCACGCTCTTTATGCTTCTACATGCATATCGCATGAATGTAATTGTAACCATATCGTGTAACCATCAATATTGGAAATGAAATTTTAAGGCTTGGCAAGCCATCTTGTGTAACCATCTTGTGTAACCACTTCCTGTGCGCAGCCCGATTGGAGCCGCAGAAGGCAGCGGCACAACGACTAGAGCAGGTAGGTGGTCCATATGGTATGTGGTGTGTCTGGTGTGTGGCTTGGTGTGATGTGTGGTCTGAGGTGTATGGCGTATGACGCGTATGGCGTATGGTGTAATGTGAATCGTGCGTGGTGGTATACCGAAGGGAGATGACAGCTCATTGCAAATGGTCTCCATGCCTTTCCCACATCACCTCGTGAACCCTGCATGCATCTAGACAAGGACAATGCAAGTTTGAAGCACTGGTGTAGAGATTATGGAAGATACCTGTGTTGTTGTCTTATGCGCTTGCAAGTGTGTGCGTGTGTGTCCGTGCGTGCTTGTGTGTGCGCATTTGTTTGTAAGTGCATGCACGTGTGTGTGCGCGTGTGCGTATGTGCTCGTGTGCATGTGTATGTGCGTGTTGTGGGAGGGTGGGGAAATGGGCAGTGGCAGGAGTCCATAGCAGCGCAGCAGCGGGCCCTCCCTGAAGGTACCTCTGTAGCAGCAGTAGCGGACGAGCGACATGCAGCACATTCACCACTCTTTTCACAGCACGCCATGGCATCGTTACAGTCACAGCACGCCATGGCATCGTTACAGTCACATGCATCTCAGCTAGCCGCGGAATCTCTACAATCACATGTTCTACGAAAACCCTTGCACTCACATGCCATGCATGGTCACCTGCCTGCCATGCATGGTCACCCCCCTGCCATGCGTGCTTCAATGGGAGATGGCAATGGAGATGGAGGCTTGAAGCATGCCCATGGCATGGATGAGGACCAACCCATGGATGACGATGACCTCAGCGATCCATCTGTGTGAGTTCTGTCATGTCCCCTTGTGTCATGGCACCTTGTGTCATGGCACCTTGTGTCATGGCACCTTGTGTCATGCCCCCTTGTGTCATGGCACCTTGTGTCATGTCACCTCGTACCATGTCACCTTGTGCAATGTCACCTTGTGTCGTGTCTGCTGCACTCAGTGTGTCAAGTGTTCTATGCTTAGTGTTCTGTGTCGTTATCCAGTGCCATGTATCATGTACCGAGTGTTCCGTTTGATGTTGCATGCACTCCACCCCCATTGCTTCGATGCCAACTCAGATGGATGCTTCTCGCAGTTCGGAGCATCTCAATTCACTGTCTGATGCTTCTCGATTTGCGTGCCAATTTAGTTCGGTGCATGTGGTTTGAACACCACAACAAGCATTTCTACATTCTACTCAGCACGATGTGTGCACGCAGAAAGTGACTCTATGCCACTATTCCACCTTATCTGTGTCTTGCAGGCAAAAAAGGATAGCGGTTGCCTCTGTTGGTCCTCGGGTAAATGCTCCACGCCACAAGAAAAGATGCGTCTAGACGTGGTAGTTGCTGACCTTGTGTTGTGTATATTCTGTATAATTTCACTCGTTACTTCTAGACCTTTGTCTGTAGCCGATTTCTGTGGACATGTACAGCTGCGAAGCTCTTCAAAGTAGAAGTTGGAAATGAGAAAACTATTGTTGAAAGCCCGAATTGTAACGTAGGTAAGATGGGGATGCAATCAAAACAGTGTGTTGACTGTTAACTTCGTCCGTTGAGTTAAAGAAGAGCACCGCACTACGTCGCACGGTATCGTGATGAACACCCGAGTCACCGTTCCAATGAATGCATGGTACCATTGTGGCACCACGACTACAGCCTGCCTGCTGGAACTAACTGTTGCCTAGTGTGTGTTTTCACTCGAATTTCCTACCCAATCGTGTCAGAATATTACCGAAGAGCATCCTACCCAACCGCAATGGATCGTAGAATTGGGACACCCCTGGTGCCAAGCCAAGCCGCTAAGGGCGTGGTACTTCGGCAAAACATGCCCAAGTTGCGCAACTCGGGAAGCGCAATTTGCGAAATTCGTCCTGGCGAGCGCAACCCGACGCTGGAACCTGGGATTGCGCTTTTCGGGCGGGAATCGCAACTCATCTGGAACATCGGGTTGCGCTCGAAGAATGCGCAGCGCCTGAAATGGAACACGAAGCATCCGTTACCATATTTCTGGAACGAAATCAGTTTTCGCCTTTCGATTTGTTGGTGTCGCGCGTACCGACGCGAAGCAAGCAAAATCTGAGTTGCGCAACCCGAGTTGCGCATCTCTCTCAGTCTGTTCGCCAACTTGTTTGACGAGTATTCCCGAAAAACGTTACTTTCACGGGTTGCGCAACTCGGCCAAGTTGCGCAACCCAGATTTTGCCGAAGTACCACGCCCTAGCTTCACATCTCGCTACATCCATTTGCTACCTGCCTGCGGGAACTACCCATTATGCCTGCGTGCTAGTCACCAGAAGGATGCACTGCAGGACTGACGCAGTGTGATGCGACAGACAGGCCCTTTTTTCGAGAGCTGGGTTCGACGCATCGAGTAAATCATAAAACTCAACCACCGCGTCGGGAAGAATAGATTGCGAACATCGCGAGAATATCTCGCGAACATTCCGAGAATAGATTACGGCCATCGCGGGAGTAGATTGCGAACATCGCACAGTAGTACAGTCCACATCCGCGTGGCTGCGGAAAACCCCGGAGCGAAAAAACTACCGTTCACTTTCCCCTGCTACCGGGTTACCAGCCATGGCTCCAGCCATCAAGGCGGCGAATAGAGCGAAATTCGCTCTTCTCGGCTTAGCGACTATCGTCTCGCTAATTCTGCTCCGTCTGATCGCGAGCACCGTTCCGGAGAGCGACGGGCTCATGTCGGTGGGCGTTGTGGGCGAGGCGAACCAGGTGGAGCGAATCGGCGCGCTGCACAAGGCACGTTGGGGGCATTGTGGATAGGTGGTATTTCGCGTTGAGTATTAGCGCGCTGCATATGGCACGTTGGGGGCTTTGTGGCCGTTTTGGCGGCCTTTCGAGGCGGTATTGCAAGTTCACTGTGGGAATTGTGGACGAGGCGAATCGGATGGGGCGACTCGGCGCGCTGCACAAGGCACGTTGGGGCATTCTGATAGATAGGCGGCATTTGAAGTCGATAATGTGGGTTTCTCGGGAAAAACATACTAGACGGAGCGAATCGGCGCGCTTCACAAGGCACGTTGGGGGCATTGTGATAGATACGCTGTCTTTGATGGGGGTTGTGGGAGAGGCGAGTCAGATGGAGCGAGTCAGATGGAGCGAATCAGATGGAGCGAATGAGATGGAGCGAATGAGATGGAGCGAATGAGATGGAGCGAATGAGATGGAGCGAATGAGATGGAGCGAATGAGGGGGATGAGTCAGGAGTACGAGTCACTTTTGCAATTAGTGACTCTCGCTGTTCCCCTGCCGACCTTTCCTTTCCTTGTCCGTTAAGGCATGCCAGTCGCCACACGCCTCGAACCAGACCTCCCTCCTCCCCCCCCCCAACCCTAGCGCTCTGCCTCACAATTCCCCTCTGCCCCCCCACCCCCTCATCTGGGAACTGTGCCGTCGTCCCCTTTCCTTTTCCTTTCCTTTTCCTTTTCCTTTCCTTTTCCTTTCCTTTCCTTTTCCTTTCCTTTTCCTTTCCTTTTCCTTTCCTTTCCTTTTCCTTTCCTTTTCCTTTCCTTTCCTTTCCTTTCCTTGCCTTTCCTTTCCTTGCCTTGCCTTGCCTTGCCTTGCCTTGCCTTGCCTTGCCTTGCCTGGCATTGCTCCCTTGTCTGCCGTTTCTCTTTCTCGTTCCCCCATCAGGCATGGCAGTCGGCATATGGCCTGAACCAGCCCTCTACCCACCCAACCCCATCGCCTGCCCCGCAAATTCCCCCCAACCCGCCACCCCCCACCTGGACGAGTGTGTCTCGTCGTCCTTCTCGTTTCCAACTTCCTTCGTTGTTCGCCTTTTTCGCCCTTTGCTTACCCTACCCCTTTGCAGGCGTGGCAGTCGGCATACGGCTTGGACCAGGCCCCTCTGCTGCTCCCCCCCAACCCCATCGCTCTGCCCCGCCACGTCCCGCCACCCCCCCACCTGGACGACTGTGCCGCCCGCACAGGGGTCCGGCAGGGCGCGGAGAGGGCCGGGGCGGTCTGGGCGGCGCCGGGCGGCAACGGCTCGTCCTGTTGTGGGTGCTCGCCACAACCACCATGGGTGGGTGGATTGGCGGAGAAAGAAGCGCAAAGGGGGGGGAGGGGAGGGGGGGAAGGGGAGGGAGGGGCATGGAGTGGGAGGAAATTATGGAAGGCTAAAGGCTTTGGATGGTGGGATGGTATGCGTGACTTATGGCGATCTCAGTCTGTTGCGGGCGCACCTACACGCCTGTGAGGGCTAGCTGCGAGTCAGACCGGGCATTAGCCCACTCCGCCACCGCCACTCCACTCCACTCCCTCGACCATTCTGAGAGGTTTTTGAGACTTGTAAAGCTTTCATACCTAGCATGTAGCTCATTCCGTCGCCACTCCACTCCACTCCACTCCACTCCATCCACCCCTTCCCTCACTCCGCCAGGTGTTTGGCCCACACGATTCCAGCCTGGCCATGATGCGCACGGTGCAGCGAGCGAGACATCTGGCAGTCGCTCTTCCCCGCACGCACCTGCGAGGGCAAGCCACTCGCCAGCCCTTCAACCGTACCCTCAATTCACTCTTCCCCTCCCCCCCTCCACCCCACACTTCACCAGGTCTACGGCCCAGACGATTCCAACCTGGCCATGACGCGCACCGTGCAGCGAGACATCTGGCAGTCGCAGTTCCCTGTGGGCTCCTGCGAGGGCAAGCGCCTGCTGATAGCGCCGTGGCCGGAAGCACCAACTGGCGAAGCGGGGGAGGCGCTGCAGCAGGGGGGAGTGGAGGGGCAAGGGGGGGAGCAGGGAGGAGTGGAAAGGGGGAGGGGAGGCCTGGAGGGCCTGGCGTTCCAGGTGCATGTGATGGGCGCTCTGTTGGGTTTGGCTGTGGAGTCTGGCCGCGTGCTCGTTCCTCTTGCGGGCTCCTTCACCTTCGCCAACAACTCGGCATGCAAAGGTGCGCTTATCAAAGGCACCTGACGTTGGGGCTGGCTGCCTCTGCAGGTGCATGTGATGGGGGCGTATGGGCGCTTGGCTCTGCAGGTGCATGTGATGGGGGCGTATGGGCGCTTGGCTCTGCAGGTGCATGTGATGGGGGCGTATGGGCGCTTGGCTCTGCAGGTGCATGTGATGGGGGCGTATGGGCGCTTGGCTCTGCACGTGCATGTGATGGGGGCGTATGGGCGCTTGGCTCTGCAGGTGCATGTGATGGGGGCGTATGGGCGCTTGGCTCTGCAGGTGCATGTGATGGGGGCGTATGGGCGCTTGGCTCTGCACGTGCATGTGATGGGGGCGTATGGGCGCTTGGCTCTGCACGTGCATGTGATGGGGGCGCCACTGCTGGCTCGTTCAGCTTCGCCAACAACACAGAATGCAAAGGTTCGTCTGGTGCAAAAGTTGAGGACTAAAGGTGTGCCTGGTGGCACGCACATGTGACGGGGCACAGCGCAGCTAGGGCTGGCTGGCAGTGGAGTCTGGCCGTGTGCTCGTCCCCCTCACGGGCACATCCAGTTTCCCCAACAACACAGCATGCAAAGGTGCGTGTGTTGCAAGTGGTGCATGATGAGGGAATGCCTAGTGACAGGTGCATGTGCTGGGGAGGGGGGCACTGCTGTTGATGGATCACGATCGATCTTTCTTTCTTGAATTGACGTGCTCATCTACATTCCTCTTTCCAGTTACAGGTCAAAACAGCCAGTGGGACTGCTTCTTTTCCCCCATCACCTCCCTGCATCATGCCCTCCGTCCCTCTTCCCCTGCCACCATTCCCCTTCCTTCAATTGTCGCAACTCTCCTCTCTCTCCCCCCTCCAGGCGTGGGCCAGCTCGGCCAGTGGGAGTGCTTCTTCTCCCCCATCGCCTCCTCTGACTGTGTCAAGCTCGCCCAGAAAGCGGTGCAGAGCGGTGCCTTGCGGTGCGGCGCCAAGCACATCCGCAACGTGGCTCTGTCTGCTGAGCCCACAGTGTGCCTGCATGCCAGCTTCGACTACAACGAGCTCAAGATGCAGGCCGCTGTGGTCAGGTGCGTAGACTACTATATCAAGTGGTGCAATGCGGTGCAGTCTGGTGCACTGTCATTCCCAGTGCGCAAAGCCAATCCGCAACATGGCTCTCTTTGCTGAGCCCACTGTGTGTCTGCATTCTGGCTTTGACTACAACGAGTATAAGATGCAGGCTGCTGTGGCCAGGTGGGTGGGCGAGAGAGAGGGAGTGGGGGCGAGAGAGGGGGAAGCCGTTAGGTGACTACACACTGGCAGGATCCGCTCCATTGCCTTTCTCTCTCACGCTCAGACACCCCTCTCTGCTGACCCCGCTGTGTGCCTGCGTGCCAGCTTCGACTAGAACGACCTCAAGGTGCAGGCTGCCGCTGTTTAATCATGCCATTCAAGTCCTCCTGTAATGGCGCCGCTCCTAGTGTAACCCCCCTGATTATCTACCCCCTCCCCCCTCCACCCCGCGCTTTCCTCGTGTTCCCTGATGTGGCCCCTGCTGTCTCTCTCTGTATAAGACGCCGTTGTTTGGATGAGACCCCTCTTTTTCCCTCTCATCTTTCTCTTCCTTCCCCATCCTCTTCTCACGTGCGCCCTCGCCTCGCTTCATTCCCTCCCCTCGCAGCACATGGGGAACGCCCCACTTGCTGCGCCCACGCACCCAATACCGCCCAGCATCACCTACCCCCACGCCTGACAATCCTTGTCTCCTTCCCCGCTCATCCTGCCTCATTCTCCTTTCTCCCTTAAACCCCCCCCCCCCCCCCCCCCCCCCCCGCCCCGTCTTCCCCTCTCACAGCAAGTGGGGAACGCCCCACTTGCAGCGGCCAGACACCCTATACCGCCCAACGTCCCCTCCCCCCACGCCTGACAACCCATCCCTCTCGCTGCCCCAGGTGTGTGTGCGCGCATGACAGCCCCAGCGCCTCCTCTCTTCTCCATCCCCATTCCGTCCCTCTCCTCCCCGCCCCCTCCCTGCCGCCCCTCTCCTCAACCGCCGTCATCTCACGTATTGGTTCCATTGCTCACCTACTATGTGCTCTGCTTTTGAGAATAAAAAAAAAACAGATCTCACCTGCTGTCTCCTCGTCTCATCACATCCCATCCCATCCCACCGCTCGCCACCGTGTCACCTCATTTTCCTAACCAATGCTGCATCCCATCCCATTCCACAGCACTCCACTGCACTCCAATGCACTGATGCTGTGCCCAGGCCACCCGTTTCCTCATGCGCTGTCCCTCATTGTTCACCTCCTCTTGGTTCCTATCCTATCCTGATCCCATCCCATTCCAACCCACTCCACCGCATGCCATCCCATTCCACTGCGTCACACCGCGTCCCACCACTCTCAGGTACGCTGGTGGCGAGCCCAGGCCACCCGCTTCCTCATGCGCTGGCCCTCCCTGCACCTCTGCCACGTCACCAACCTCATCCGCCACGTCAGCACGAGCTACCACTTGGCTGCCAGGCTGGCGTTTTTCGAGGAGACGCAAGCAGAGATCATCCGTGACGTGGCAGGTGACACAGCAGGGCCGGAAGCCAGGAGGAATGTGATGAAAAGTGCACAAGCCAAGGAGTTCTTAGGGATGGAGATGGGTAAAGGGGTGGAGAAGGAATCTGTAGCAAAGACCTCCTGGGCTACTAAGGGGGGGAGGTGTGAGGTGTGTGAGAAGGAAGGGGGGAAGGGAGAGGAGGAGGGGGCGGGAGGTGTGGCAAGTGGGGTGAAGAAGGAGGGGATGAGTGCGGAGGAGGAGAAGAAGTGGCGTGAGGAGTTGGAGAAGAAGCAGAGGAACGTGCTTTACTACGTGCAGAAGAACAACGAGCTGGTGGCTGGGGTGGGCAGAGAGCCGTACATCACACGGCCGCTAGTGAGCCTGATTATAGAGGGTACGGCTGGGGAGGGGAACGCAGGGGGGGTTGGGGAAGAGGGAGCAGCAGCGGGGGGTGGAGGAGGGGGGGTGGGGAAGGAGGTGGAAGGGAGAAAGTTGGAAGGAAGTGAGGTGGAGGCGAAAGAGAAGGAGACCACAGATATGGGGGGACAGGGAGCGGAGGGGCAGGGAGCAGAGGGGCAGGGAGTGGGGGAGAAGGGAGTGGAGGAGAAGGGTGGAGCGAGCAACGGGGGAGAGGTCGAGGGGAGTGAGGTGCTGAGCTCGCACATGCTTCAGGTGCATCAGCTGCGGCTGGTGGAGCCTCATTTGGACCACGTGTGGCTGCACACCCAGTCCCAGGTACACTGTTTTCTGTCGTTTGAGTCAACTTCGAAGTCGTTTGAGCTGGCACATGATTCACGTGCATCGGTTGCGGCTGGTGGAGCCCCACTTGGACCATGTGTGGCTGCACACCCAGTCCCAGATACAGTGTTTTCTTTCTTTGCCCTCTTTGTGTTCTCCCTCTCTGCTCCCATTCCTCCTCTTATTCCTCCTCTCATTTCTCCTCTCATTCCTCCTCTCCTCTTCCTCTCATTCCTCCTCTCATTCCTCCTCTTATTCCTTCTCTCATTCGTCCTCTCATTCCTCCTCTCACCAGTCAGCCTGTCTCGCACAGCATGCAGCCGTCCTGGCCTGGCGACAAGGCATCGCAAGTGGCGCTCCATCATCCACCTCTCTCCGCTGCCCCTCTGTCCCACCCACCAGCCTGCAATCCGCAGTGCCTACAACTACCACGGTTGGACGTTACTTGAGGCGCCTCAGAACCCCTTGCTACTCCCCCAACCCGCTCCGCTGCCCCTCTGTCCCACCCACGAGGCTGCAATCCGCAGTGCCTTAAACGTTTCTTGACGCGACTCAAAACTCTCACCACCTCCCCACCCCACTCCTCTGCCCCTGTGTCCCACTTGCCAGGCTGTGATCCGCAGTGCCTCCAGCTACCATGATTGGACGTTCCTCCATTCCACCAATCAGACAGCCCCACCCTCCACCTCACTCCAACACACCGACCCAGCAGCAGCACCAACAGCGCCAACAGCAGCAGCGAGGGGTCTGGCCAGTCTGCTGGTGGCGTCTCAGGGCGATTGCTTTGTGGGCGGGCTCAAGTCGCACTGGGGAAGGCTGGTGAACGAGTTGCGCTCCACAAATGGCCGCCTTTTCAACCTCTTCATTGCCATGGATGATGACGAATGGTGATTCTTTCGTCCATTGATTTGATCCTTAGTGTGATTCGAGTCTCTATACGACCTCTAGGTTTGGCCAGTTAGAATGCAAGAATGATTGACTAGTGTGAGAAACCTAGAACTTATACCTGTTGGGGTTGTACTCACTAGAAGCTACCTAGGCTAGCCTATAACTTCTACATACAACATATGTATAAGTTGACACACCCCCTAGGCTAGAGAAGGGGTGGTGCTAAACAAGAAGCACACAACTCAGGGTGGCACTACTAGTCCAACCACTGAGGCAGGCGTCCGGAGACCAGTCAGCAAGAGTACAAACAAGACTAAAGCAAGCCAGGGCGGCACTACTAGTCCAGCCACTGGAGGTAAGGCCACAAGGCCAGTCAGACAGGTATATATAGTAGAGAGTGTTGGAATACGATAATGATTACTAGGAAGAGAAACTTAGAACATATACCTGTTGGGTTGTACTCACTAGAAGCACACACCTAGTCTAGCCTATAACTTGTACATAGAACAAATGTACAAGTTGACACACCCCCTAGGCTAGATAAGGGGTGGAGCTAAGCAAGAAGCACACAGCTCAGGGTGGCACTACTAGTCCAACCACTGAGTCAGGGATCCAGAGACCAGTCAGCAAGAGTACAAACAAGACTATAGCAAGCCACGGCGGCACTACTAGTCCAGCCACTGGAGGTAAGGCCACAAGGCCAGTCAGACAAATATAAATAGTAGAGCGTACACAATCAGGGTCCTAACAAGTGAGATTGACAGGAATAAGACCAAGCTGGACATAGTGCCGCTAATGATCTTAAGGCACAAGCTCCTTAGTAAAGATATGGGCAGTGTTGGCATCGGAGACCAAGTGAACTACGCGGGCCTGGCGACGCTGCTGTAGCTCGCGCAGGAGGAAGTACCGCAGCTGGATATGCTTCGCTCTGCCCTCAAGCCGAGGCTCCTGACACAGGAGAATCATGGCCCTGTTGTCAGCGTACAGGACCGGGGCAGAGCTAGGCCGCTCACCTAAGTCAGTGAGCAAGAAGGTAAGCCAGCGGAGCTCCTGTGCCGCCATGGTACCGGCGTAGATCTCAGCCTCACAGCTGGACTGAGCAACAGACGACGAGCGAGTGGATCTCCAAGAGATAGCACCCGAACCAACAGTAGCCCTGAGACGACCTGAGAGTCTCTGAGTCGTCTGCCCAAGAAGCGTCTGTGTGCCGAGTGAGGACCACTGGCCTGCGTCCTCCTAGCACTAACCCCATGCCCGATGTACTTGCAAGATAACGCAAAACCCTCTTAGCGGCAGACCAGTGCTGAGGTCCGTGTCTACCAGTAGCCACAAAGCGAGCCAGGGTGCTGAGAGGGTATGCGAGATCTGGGCGAGTGCAAGTCATCAGGTACATGAGGCAACCCACCAGCTCTACGTAGGGGCCACTGGGCTCTACTGGCTCCTGAGGAACGGGAGCGGAGAGCCCATGGGCTACAGGTAGAGGTGTGGGCTGTGCGGAGGACAACTGAAGACCCAACATCTGAAGGACCTGACGCACCAAGTGTGACTGTGTCAGAGTGATGGTGCGTGCTGCTCTGTCCCTAGAGATCTGCAGGCCAAGATAGCGACGCAGCTCTCCAAGGTCAGTGCAGGTGTGTCTCTTCAGCAGCTCGGCCTTCACGGAGGCCAGTGCGTCCCTGTCAGCAGTAGCGAAGACCAGGTCGTCTACGTAGACACGGATGTAGAACGGAGTCTGGCCGGAACGCACAAACAGCGAGGGGTCAGCAGAGGACGGAAAGAACTGCAGGTCTGCTAACGTGGCCCGCAGCGTGTCGTGCCACTCGCACGAAGCCTGTCGCAGGCCGTAGACCGGGCGCCTGAGAAGCCACTGGGTCCCAGGGGGTAAGGTACCAGTGAAGCCCTGAGGTCGACGCAGGTAGACCTGCTCATGTAGGCTGCCCTGAAGAAAGGCAGTAGAGAAGTCGAGAGAGTGAAGCTCATAGTCGCGCTGTGCTGCTACGTGTAGCAGCGCTCGAAGAGTGGTCATCTTCGGAGTCGGGGCGAAGGTCTGGAAGAAGTCAACCCCCTCGCGGTGACTGAAGCCTCTGGCCACGTAGCGCGCCTTGAAGACAGGCGGCTCTCCAAGGGGGCGCTTCACCTTGAAGAGCCACCAACCATCGACTGCGTTCACCCCAGGCGGGGGAATTGCGTCGACGTAAGTGCCGGTGGATCTCCAAGATGCCATCTCCTGCTCCATGGCAGCTATCCACTGAGAGGCGCAAGGTCCCGAGGTGGCCTCAGCGTAAGTGCGAGGGGTCGCGATGTCAAAGGCGTATGGGTCCCCCTCAGGGACTAACAGCATGGAGCAAAGATGGGGAGCGGTCTCGGAAAGGAAAGCAAGCTCGTACTGCCTGTCCTCTAGAAGGTCAGTGCCAAGGGCAGGAGCACCCCCGACGGACGGAGGACGGGTAGGGTCAGAGACCAGAGCGGTGGCGTAGTCAAGGCGGCGGGTAGAGGCGAAGTCAGCGACAGCAGCGACAAGCGCATCAGGGCGCGAGACAGGAACAGAAGGGTCGGTAACAAGAGAGGCAAGAACCCGAGGGACAAGGGGATGAGCGGCGCGGAGGTAGTCTGACAACGGAGGAGGTGCAACAGCAAGTGACGAGGGAGGAGGGGACGGGAGGAGGGGAGGATGAGACGAGTGGGAACGGAGCAACATAGGGTGGGAGCGCATGACAGGAGAGATGGGACGAGCGCGGGAGGGACGGCAAGACCAAACGTGGGACGGAGGTGTAGGGTCAGGGGACAGCGGAGGGGACACAGGAGGGGAACGAGGAGGAGGACGGGCCGGAGACGAGTCCGGCGGGGTGAACACAAGACCGTGAACAGGAAAGTCAGGAGGCGGTGGGGGAGACACCGGCAAGCGGTCAGGGGAGGGAAGGCCGAGCAGGCAGAGAGCGGAGACCGGCGGCGACGGCTGCTGCGGCTGCTGCGACTGCTGGGCCGGAACCCTCGGACTGGCTGGACGACCGCTGGGAGAACACTCAACAGCAGCGCCCCCAGAACCAATACCCCCAGAGCGAGAACCCCCTCCAACACTAGCGGCACCCCCAGGGGCCGCAGGACGAACACCCTCCTCAACGCCAGCACCCCCCGAGGCCAAGGGCGGCGGCAGCGGCGGCGGCGGCGGCGGCTGCGGCGGCGACTGCGGCGGCGTCTGCGACTGCGACAGTGGGGGCGGAGACACCGGGGGAGGGGGACGCGGCAAGGACAGGCCGGGGGTACCACCAGAGTCAGCAGACTCCTCAACGGGGACAACCGACGGGAGGGGAGTGACGTGAGAGACACCAGACGGGGCAGGACGAGGCGGGAGAGGAGCAGGGGCTACCGGGGGAGAGGGAGCAAGGAACAAGGGGGGGGCAACCGGGAGACCTCGATGAGGGAAGCGGCGGTAGAAGGAGACAGACTCGTCAAAGGTGACGTCACGAGAGTGGAGGAAGCGGTGAGACGGCGGGTGGTAGAAAGGCCAGTCAGACGAGTCCAAGGGAAAACCGAGGAAGACACAGGGGACAATGCGGGCAGTGAGCTTGTCCGTGCCAGAGGCACAAATGTGAGCAAGGCAGCCCCAGACGTGGAACGAAGACGCGTCACCGAGGGACCCGGTCCGATGGAGGGTCGGCGAAACCTGCGGCCGCTGGGAGCGTGGCCACAAGTTAAGCTGGTGAGCAGCGTAGCGAACAGCGAACGGCCACAGAAAATGGGGGGCATCGGCATGAATCATGGAGGTACGAGCAACCTCCATGACCAAGCTGATGCGGTGCTCAGCAACCCCATTCTGCTGTGGCGAGTCCGGCAAGGTGTACGACTGGGTGATGCCCTCCGCACGACAGAACTGTCCAAGCCGACCAGAGGCGAACTCGCCGCCACGGTCAGAGTGGAGACACAACACGGGGTGACCGCGGTGAAGACGCGCAGCCACAACCCACGGGAGAAGAACGTCGGGCAAGTCGGCCTTCCGCTCCAGGGGAAACACCGTGGTGTAGCGTGTGTAGTTGTCGACGAGCACAAGGAAGTAGCGCTCACCACGCGGTCCGGGGACGGGTGCAGGGCCCCTGACGTCCAGGTGTAGGGTCTGAAGGGGGGCAGTAGCAGGGCGCAGCGAGGAGGAGTCAGGAGCACGGCGGAGCCAGCCCTCGACGCAGGGCGTGCACGGTGGCGCAGTCGAGGGGGGAAGGGCAGGGAGCGACGCGGTGAGGCCTAAGACAAGACCGTGCTGGGACATGTGACGCAGACGAGGGAGAGCAGGGTGACCTAAGCGGTGGTGCCCGAGAAGGGACGGGTGAGTGAGGGACCGACACAAGCAAGCTGCAACAATCTGGGAGGACGCACCAACCGGGGGGGAAGCGATGTCTAGGGTGAACAGACCGGACATCGGGTTCTGGGGGAACGTCGCAAGGGGGGAACCTGAGACAGCCTCAGAACAGACAGCGAACCGCTCGTGCCCGGGGAACGTAGTGGTGATGCCGAGGTCCTGGAGAACGAGGGAGCGTGGAGGCCTGTAAGGGAGCCCGAGGGAACTACTGGACAGGGAAGGGAAGTGGAGCTGCGAGCGACGACAGGACCCGCAGAGGGGTCAGCGAGAGAGACAAGAGCAGGCGCTGAAAGTGGCGTGAGCGTAGAACGGTCCCGGAAGAAGCAGGCAGAAGCACCGGAGTCGAGAGTGAAGGACAGCGAAGCAGTAGCGGAGGCCGAAAACGGAGCCGGTGCAGAGACTAGGCTAGGCAAACTAAGCAGTCCTACGCCTGACGCAGCAGGGGAGGCTAAGCTACACAAGGGTGCAACACCTAAACTAGAGTACACAGGGTAATAAAATCCAGCAACACTAGAAGCGTCAGAATACAAGGCATGCAAAGCAGCACCTATCTGATCCATGTCTACAGTAACTCAAAGATCGGCACGCCCTGGCGGAACAGGCTGTGCCAGTCGGGGAGGTCCGGGGCCGGGCCAAAGCGCCGACGAAAGAGATCGTTGAGGCGGCGGAAACAGCGGGCGGTCGGGTGCGGGCGACGGCACAGAGTGCCGCGGAGAGGCCCGGTCTGAAGCTGGTACTGGCAGGTCACAGCACCAGAGCCGCCGGTAGACGCCGAGCTGCGGGGGCCACCACCACGGCCACAACCGCCGGAGGTGCCGGGCCAACCAGGCGGGAGACGGGCCCACGGCTGCGGCGGCTGCTGCTGGGACGGCGGCTGCTGCTGGGACGGCGG